CAGGGTCTTCCTCCTGGTCTAACACTCAAATAGACACAAGACAAATTAGCAAGAGGAACTGGCCAGACTTAATTACGTACTAACTGGGGGAGTGCCCCCTGCATCAGAGTCAGAGCCGCAGAGGGAACCCAGGTCTAGAAGACACTCTGAGCAGGACAGCAAGCCTGCGGCCCCTGGGGGCTTCAGAGGCATTGCACGGAGCGCGCGGGGAGAGGTTAGTCTGCCCTGCGAAACGGACAGGGACTCTGACTTCCGGTGATGACTCTCATCGTGGGTCAGGCTCCTAATTTAAATTCTTCTAGAGTCTAGACCAGGGGTGGGCAAACTTTTTGACTCGAGGGCCACAATGGGTTCTTAAACTGGACCGGAGGGCCGGAACAAAAGCATGGATGGAGTGTTTGTGTGAACTAATATAAATTCAAAGTAAACATCATTACATAAAAGGGTACGGTCTTTTTTTTTTTTTAGTTTTATTCATTTCAAACGGGCCGGATCCGGCCTGCGGGCCGTAGTTTGCCCACGGCTGGTCTAGACAGTTAAGGGGGAGCGGAAGTCTCTCTTGAGCCCCAGGTCTCAGTCGTCTTTAGCTCACAATAATCCACATACTACTGAGGCAAGTACAGAACAAAATGAATAGTAGAAAAGAAGCTTTAAAAATAACTTTTGAGAACATATAAGACCTTGCTCCCTGGCATAGACCCTCCGGAAAGCACATACAAACGCCTGTAACTTTTCAGTGTTATACTAAATCTAGAGCTTTTGCTTTTCACACTAAAAGTAGTAATTTGAAGCTTCATTCGATCTGAGAAGCAAGAGAGGCTGTAAAAAACATGCCTAAATCAAAACTACTTAATTGTGTGTAATAATAGTTAACAATGAAACAACGTTTTAAAACTTATCCTGCACACAGTGGCTTGTGCTTGGCTGTTTGTGTGTAGTAATATGTTAACAATAAAACCATGTTTTTAAACTTCCTGCACACAGTGGCTTGCGCACAGGGCACTTTTATTGTTGTAAGTAAACTGATTTTCTGAGCTCACCCTGATGAATGCCTTCCATTCTTAAAAGTTTGTTTTAATGGCACAGACGTGCTCTGCCACATCGTCTGTGTTTCTCTGTGACATCAGAAAGCCGTGCATCTGTGCTTCTCCTGGGGTTTGGCATTGCTCAGAGGTGTGGGAGGAGTCAGCAGAGGGTGGAGCTGGCGGCAGCAGCTCCTCTGCCGCAGTGTGGGTGTGCGGTGTGGTCCCTCCAGCATGGATTATCTTTTCCATAACATCCAGCGAATGGAAAATGGCCGTGCATGCGGCCCTGCCTCACCCGGAAATGCCTAGTGGATGTGCTGTGGTGTGGTGTGTATTCTCACATGCATACTTGTGCACGTGTGTGTTCTCACACACATGTGTGCGCTCACAGACACATGTGTGCTCTCACATACGAGTGTATGCTCTCACATACGAGTGTGTGCTCTCACACGCATACATGTGCACACACATACACGTGCACAGGTTTGGGTGTTCACATGCACACATGTGTTCTCACATGCGAGTGTGTGCTCTCACATGCACACATGTGCGCTCATGTGCATGTATGTGCATGGGTGTGTGGCGTGTGCACTCACACGTATACATGTGCACGGGTGTATGTATGCATGTTTCATTTCCACAAGCACCACTGATACTGTTGTTTAAAGTGGACCATAGTCCTAGTTTTTGAATTCTTGAGACATTAAATGACACAGTCATTATATCATATTCCCCAAACTGTATCTGAACCCATGGCAGCATTATAAATGTCATGTTTTTCTTTAGCACCAAACATTTGCCTGCAATGGGGCAATGTAGTTAGTTACCAGAAATGACAGTTGGAAGCTGTTCTTACATTCCCTGAAGTTTCAGGCAGACTAAACATTCGCTCTTTATAAGCTCTGTTTAAATGAAATCTTGGCATTATCAAAGCTTGATTTTGCCGTAGGTATAAATTGTAGTTTCCTGAATGCAAATCTAAAATGTAAAGTTCTGTTCGTAATAGAAAAACAAAACTAAATGAAATTACTAAATTGTTAAGATTGTTTTTAACTTCATGTTAATTTTAGTCCAACTAGAAAACAATGATTAAGATCATTCATTTTCTTCCCCCTGACACTTGAGAGTCCCACAGAGGGTTTGGGGTTTAAACTGCGTGTCACATGTACAGGGCAGGAGTCGAGCTGTCTGGCTCGTCTGCGAGCAAAGAGCTCCCACCAGTGGACACCCTGATGTCCCTGGGAACTGCGGTTCTGGACCTTGTTTGTGTTTATTAGTTGATCAGCGCTTCGTCTTCCTGGGTAAAATGGGAATAAAGTAAGGGACGCAGACTTCCTGTTCTCCTCGCGCCGGACTCACTCCTGGAGCCGAGAAGGAGCAGTGCCTCTGTGGGGGAGATGCCAGCTCCTGAAGAGAAGGGAGCGGGCAGCGCCGTGGGCACCGTGCACCTGTGATGGGCTGCGGGGGTGGCAGCAGGTGGCACGGCGGCGGGGCCTCAGTCACAGCTCCTTTAACTTCAGCGCCACACACGACATTGTTGTCCGTCCAGAGGCGTTTAACCCTCCGCCTGCTCACCAGCCTGGGAGCCACTGGGTGCAGCACACGCGTTTGCAGAACGAGAGGCTGCTTTGCAGGGACAGAGCTGGAGAAGACGGTGCTTCGTTGGGGCTCACCCCTCAGTCTTGCTGCAGTGCGTGGCCAGGCGCTCTGGTGACTCTGTCCTCCGCTCCTCCGTCCTGGCACCGAGCTGCGTGGACCAGCTCAGCTCTGCCCTCGGCCGGGAGACAGCTAGCACGGAGCGAGCCGACCTGCCCGCATGGGACAGGGACCTCACGGGGCCCAGCGCTTCCCCCGGAAGGCTCCTCCTCATCGGAGCTGCGGTCCTTAGAGCCCCGCGCTCCGGCTTCGTGTCTGACGCTGGCGCAGGCCTCGCCCGGTGGCAGGGCACTCGCCGTGTCCGTAACTACATCATCTAATCATTGCACAGACACCGGCCCCTCCTTCCTCCCAACAGCCTTCAGCCGCCGCTGTGGTTACAGCTGAAGTGGCCAAGGCGCCGGCCAGGGCCCGGTGGGGAACGGAAGCGGCTCAGTGGAGGCTGAACCGTCTGTGTTCACCTGTCTGCCCGGGCTCCGGCCAGGAGCCGTCTGCGGTGGCGAGGGTTCGGAGGGGCCAGCGACTCCCGCCAGGAAGCAGTTCCTGCCTGTCCAGGAGCTACCTATCAGGGAGCTGCGCCTGAACACTGCACTTCCTGGAATGCAAGGGCACTCCGGGTCAGGCCGCGGTGCAGCAGCCCTGGGTCACAGTCCGCCGGCTGACCTCTGTCTGCTGATTCTAGGTGGAGTGCTACGACTATGACAGCGACGGCTCCCACGACCTCATCGGGACATTCCAGGCCACCATGACGCAGCTGAAGGAGGCCTCCCGGAGCTCCCCCGTGAGTCGTGCTCTTGTCTGGGTTCGCCCTTGGCACAGCACACAGACCAGGGCTCGCTCCTGGCTGCAGGTGCTCGGTGAGCAGGTGGTGAGTAATGGCCCGGGATCCAGGCTTGCGGTGTGAGTGTACATGGACACTCAGAGGCTTGGTCTTCTTGGCTACAGGCAGCATCCGTGGTTTGATGGAAACCCTTTGTTCTGAGCGTGTGGCATGTCCTTGGTCACAGTACTCAGTGCCCACAGCAGGGCCGACGCCTGGTTGAACTGTGCGCTCTTACTGCCCCGTCTGTCCTTCCTGGTGGCCTCACCCAGGGGAGGGACGAAGCGTGGGGATGGGACTTCAATTAGGGAATTGTAGCTAATGAATACATGAAACCGAGGGGCCGTTTGGTTTAACTAATTGGGTTTTAAACAAACAAGAGGGGCTGGAGTTTCCGGGGGCCCGGTGGGCCCTGTGTGCCCCGCTCCTGGTCACAGTGCCTCCTCGCAGCCAACGGAGGCGCTGTGGGATGGAGGAGGCTCTCCAACCCTCTGCGGTTTAAATGCAAATGCTGACTTGGTGTTGAGCTGACAGGCTTTGGATTAAAGCAGCAGCAGAATTCAGTGGCAAAGGTAGATATTCTACGTTAAGATGGTTTTCTGAGGCAGAGCTAACGGAAGACATAGGAACCTGACCACTGGAAATACAGCCGCCGGCTCAGCGCGAAGGCTGGTGGTGGTTCGTGGTTTCCGCTCTGTGTCCAGAGCAGTGCGTGCCTGCTTGTAGAAGACGGTGGGTGATGGTGCCCTGGGTGCCCTGTACGCCTCCTGCAGTTTCCCTGAGCCCTGACTGGTGATGGACCAGGCTTCCCATTCCCGGACTAGGCCTGCTCAGTCCTGCTCATCAGAGGCAGGGCCGTCTTGTCGGCTGCTTTTGGTGCCTGGCGGCACGAGGATGCCAGGGGTGCGGCCTTTGCCGTGAGAGTTGATGTAGAGCCTTCTGCATCTGAAACGCTCAGGAACGAGTGTTCACGATGGTGATGGACACTCGGGCAGGACCCGGAGCCCTCAGAAGGTTAGCAGGGTTTTCCTTTACTTCATTTGTCAACTGTATCTCTTCACGCTTGGTTCTTAGAAAATCCGTAACGACTGGTGAGCACAGTCACTTTGTAAGAGCTAGAGAGCTGGCTGGTCAGATGCACCGAGTCCCTGTGCTGTAGCGTTAGGAGCAGCAGTGAGAAGCGAAGGTGTCACTTAGAGGTCGTTACTCCTTCGCTGTGAAAAAAAGAATGAATGAAGCAAGAGAGCACTACGAAGTATGTAGGGCAGTTTTGTGTGGGTGCAGATCGGAGAGGACCAGGCGGCAACTGACATCACGGAGAGGAGGGCGGGGCTGGGCAGGGGGACCGGCGGGGAGGGGGAGGCAGTGCCCTGAGGCGCGTTGGGCCCGTTTCCAACACGTTCCCAGTAGAAGGGGTGCTGTGTTTCACACAGGGTGGGGCTTCACCTCTCTGTTCTGATGGTAGGTTTTTTCTTCTTTTGAAGCAGCATATTTTTGTTCTCTCCGAGGGTAAAGACTGGGAGTTATATTTACTTCCTTTGTTGTAAAGAAGAAAGATTATTGCTTAGAGAATTTGCCAAGAAATTTATACTTACGAGCTATTTTAAAAGGTACACTTATTTTTTTATTTTGTAAATATATTTTATTGATTTTTACAGAGAGGAAGGGAAAGGGATAGAGAGTTAGAAACATTGATGAGAGAGAAATATCGATCAGCTGCCTCCTGCACCCCCCCCACCCCCCAGGGATGTGACTGCAACCAAGGTACATGCCCTTGACCGGAATCGAACCCGGGACCCTTGAGTCCTCAGGCCGATGCTCTATCCTCTGAGCCAAACCGGTTAGGGCAAAAGGTATACTTTTAGCAATGTCAGTGATGAGTGTTTGAGTTACCTAGTTGTTACGTCATCGCCTCGGAGTGGTGCTGGCAGTAGATCGCCGTCAGCGGGGGTTTGATTCCAGGAGGAAGTCGTCATTTACAGTCCACTGGGCTTTCTGACGCACTGGTGACACGCACTTTCCCCCACAGGTGGAGTTTGAGTGCATCAACGAGAAGAAGAGACAGAAGAAGAAAGGCTACAAGAACTCCGGCGTCGTCAGCGTGAAGCAGTGTGAGGTCCGTGACCTGACCGCCTCTCGGGCAGTGCTCACACCCCGCTCCCTGTCGGTGTGGGGATCACCCACGTGGGCACGGGGCAGTGCTCACACCCCGCTCCCTGTCGGTGTGGGGATCACACACGTGGGCACGGGGCAGTGCTCACACCCCGCTCCCTGTCGGTGTGGGGATCACCCACGTGGGCACGGGGGCAGTGCTCACACCCCGCTCCCTGTCGGTGTGGGGATCACCCACGTGGGCACGGGGCAGTGCTCACACCCCGCTCCCTGTCGGTGTGGGGATCACCCACGTGGGCACGGGGCAGTGCTCACACCCCGCTCCCTGTCGGTGTGGGGATCACCCACGTGGGCACGGGGCAGTGCTCACACCCCGCTCCCTGTCGGTGTGGGGATCACCCACGTGGGCACGGGGCAGTGCTCACACCCCGCTCCCTGTCGGTGTGGGGATCACCCACGTGGGCACGGGGCAGTGCTCACACCCCGCTCCCTGTCGGTGTGGGGATCACCCACGTGGGCACGGGGCAGTGCTCACACCCCGCTCCCTGTCGGTGTGGGGATCACCCACGTGGGCACGGGGCAGTGCTCACACCCCGCTCCCTGTCGGTGTGGGGATCACCCACGTGGGCACGGGGCAGTGCTCACACCCCGCTCCCTGTCGGTGTGGGGATCACCCACGTGGGCACGGGGCAGTGCTCACACCCCGCTCCCTGTCGGTGTGGGGATCACCCACGTGGGCACGGGGCAGTGCTCACACCCCGCTCCCTGTCGGTGTGGGGATCACCCACGTGGGCACGGGGCAGTGCTCACACCCCGCTCCCTGTCGGTGTGGGGATCACCCACGTGGGCACGGGGCAGTGCTCACACCCCGCTCCCTGTCGGTGTGGGGGTCACACACGCGTGCACAGGGGCAGCTGGAATCCCCCGCTCCGTCGGTGTGGGGATCACACACGTGTGCACGGGGGCAGTGCTCACACCCTGCTCCCTGTCGGTGTGGGGGTCACACACGTGGGCATGGGGGCAGTGCTCACACCCCGCTCCCTGTCGGTGTGGGGATCACACACGTGGGCATGAGGGCAGTGCTCACACCCCGCTCCCTGTCGGTGTGGGGGTCACACACGCGTGCACGGGGGCAGTGCTCACACCCCGCTCCGTGTTGGTGTGGGGGTCACACACGCGTGCACAGGGGCAGCTGGAATCCCCCGCTCCCTGTCGGTGTGGGGTCACACCCCGCTCCCTGTCGGTGTGGGGGTCACACCCGTGGGCACGGGGGCAGTGCTCACACCCCGCTCCCTGTCGGTGTGGGGGTCACACCCGTGGGCACGGGGGCAGTGCTCACACCCCGCTCCCTGTCGGTGTGGGGGTCACACCCGTGGGCACGGGGGCAGTGCTCACACCCCGCTCCCTGTCGGTGTGGGGGTCACACCCGTGGGCACGGGGGCAGTGCTCACACCCCGCTCCCTGTCGGTGTGGGGGTCACACACGTGGGCACGGGGGCAGTGCTCACACCCCGCTCCCTGTCGGTGTGGGGGTCACACACGTGGGCATGGGGGCAGTGCTCACACCCTGTTCCCTGTCGGTGTGGGGGTCACACATGTGTGCATGGGGGCAGTGCTCACACCCTGCTCCCTGTGGTGTAGGGGTCATATACGGGGGTAGTGCTCACACCCTGCTCCCTGTGGTGTGGGAGTCACACACACGTGCACGGGGGTAGCTGGAATCCCCCGCTCCCTGTAGGTGTGGGGGTCACACACGTGTGCACGGGGCTGCGGAATTCCTCTCTCCCTGTTGGTGTGGGGATCACATGCGTGCCTCTGCTTTCAGGTCACGGTGGAGTGCACCTTCCTGGACTACATCATGGGCGGATGCCAGCTGAACTTCACCGTGAGTAACTGGGAGCTCCACTTCCCCTTGGCAGTGCCTTGCTCCTCTGCAGAGCTGACCCGGCAAAGTGCATGCCTGTGTGGTCTGACCCAGCGCTCTGGGTATGCAAAGCTGTCCTGTCAGTAGGTCTGCCCCTTCTCCCAGAGAGCAGACGATCCAAAGCTGGTTACACCATAGCAGCTCCAGCAGTAGAAAGCGCCAGTCAGGCCAACGTAGAAAGCAAGGCCTGTATCTACAGTCCTGGTGCAGCCCCCGGGCAATCCTAGTGTAGTGCCAGCATGTCAGACTAGCGGCCGGCGGGCCACATGCCTCGTTTGACACGCTTGGCAGTGATTCACGTTTAAGTGTCTGGCAGACAGAGCGCAGGCTGTTTGGGCTGGGCCTGGGTGACCGGCGGGCCACGCCTGTGGTCCCGGGTGTTTGAGAGGACGGGGGGTGGGCTGTGGGCGAGGACCTGTCTTCTGCCGCCCTCCCCGCACCAGCGCAGACGCCCTGCTTCTTGATTGTCACCTGCAGGTGGGGGTGGACTTCACCGGCTCTAATGGGGACCCGCGGTCCCCCGACTCCCTTCATTACATCAGCCCCAACGGTGTGAACGAGTACCTGACTGCCATCTGGTCCGTGGGGGTGGTCGTTCAAGACTACGACGCGTGAGTATCGCCGTGTCCTCACCCCGGAGGCATGTGTCTCCTGCGTGTTCTCTGATCGTGCGGGACAGGCTGCTGAAATGTCTCGTCTGGCCTTGTCTTTCTCCTTGGGGCAGTGTCAGTGTTGACTTTGACCTCTGACCCCGCTCTGCAGGTGCTTGTTGAGAGCCACCGGCTGTGGCAGCCCCGGATTCTGGGGGCTACTCGGGGAAAGGCGTCGGAGGGGCTGAAGTCCAGGCGGCACAGCCTCCAACACGCAGACACTGGTTCTAACACGGCTGTCCCTGGGCAACCGTAAAGTCGTCTTAACGTGACTTTGAACAAGTGTCCACGGATAACGTGACCCAATTGCTGTAAAAGATTTTGAACAAATTCTCAATGGGTGGATTTAAATAGGTCCTTCTGGAGGTTTGCTAAGCAACAGGGGAAAACGTGCACTCGCTCTGTTAGGGCCGGTATAAAATGTCACCTGCTCCGTGACAGTAAAGCTCTCACTTGTTGATGGAGCTCTTATTAACCCATCATGGTGTTTATGGAGCTGGCTCTTTCAGGCAAATGCAAGCAAACCGGAAGCAAAGGTGGCTACGGCAGACCCCGTAGCAACAGTAAAAGAGTGCGTGTAGAACACTTTTTACACAGTCCCAAGGGGAAATGTAACCGGGACCTGTGACTGACAGAGCATCAGAGCGTCTCCACTGAGAATAGCTGGACGTAAACTGACGTCAGTCACAAGTCCTAATGGGCCCGGCACAGAGTGAGAGCTTAGCAGGGCGGCCGAGGGCAGTAAGGGAGGACTCACCTGTGGGGAGGAGGTGTCTTAGGCGGTTCTGGGGTCGGAGCGGAGACTGCGGCCCATCGGCCCATCGAGGTAGAGGGGCTGAGCCTGGGCAGGGCTTTACCCGCTTTTATTTTCCAACAAGAACTGCACGTAAATGACTGGCTTTGCGGTGGAATGAAACTGAAGATCAGGAAGGGGAAGTAGACACCGCAGTGATAGTGGGTCCAGCTGTGCCACGTGGACGCGCGAAGGCACTTTCGACAGGATGTTCATCTGATGGGGCCTCTGCAGGGACGGAGGGGCTGCCCCGGGCCGGGCCCTCTCGGGGAGCTCTGCACTGAGCGGAGGCAGGCGGGCCCCTTCCCCTGACACAGGCGCTCGGGAAGTCCTGGCAAAGCCGCGCGGGTCCTGAGCTGAAGGACGGGGTGGTTCTCTGGGAGTTCAGCAAACCCAGGCGGAGCTTGGGCAGCACTGCCCCCGTGGAGGAGGAACACCGCTAGGATATTAGTAACGCGACCAAGATTATAGCCACAAATTCAGAAAAAACATTAAAAGCTATATGGTGACTCTGAAACTGGTGTTACAGTGGGAAGTCTGCATTGACGGTGCCTTTTTAGGGAGCGTTAACTCCCAGAGTTGGCTCAGAGCACAGGGTGGAACGGGCAGCGTGCCTCACAGAGGCCACTCTCGGCACCTCCATCCCCTGTCCTTCTGTCCTCAGGTCCCTCCAGCCCCTGGTTCCTCCGTCCCCAGGTCCCTCCGTCCCCTGGTTCCTCCGTCCCCAGGTCCCTCCGTCCCCAGGTCCCTCCGTCCCCAGGTCCCTCTGTCCCCTGGTCCCTCCGTCCCCTGGTTCCTCCATCTCCAGGTCCCTCCATCCCCTGTCCCCTCTGTCCTCAGGTCCCTTCAGCCCCAGGTCCCTCCGTCCCCTGGTTCCTCCATCTCCAGGTCCCTCCGTCCCCTGGTTCCTCCATCTCCAGGTCCCTCCATCCCCTGTCCCCTCTGTCCTCAGGTCCCTCCAGCCCCAGGTCCCTCCGTCCCCAGGTCCCTCCGTCCCCTGGTCCCTCCATCTCCAGGTCACTCCATCCCCTGCCCCGTTCTATCCCCTGTCCCCTCTGTCCTCAGGTCCCTCCATCCCCTGGTCCCTCCGTCCCCTGGTCCCTCCAGCCCCAGGTCCCTCCGTCCCCTGGCCCCTCTGTCCCCTGGTCCTTCTATCACCTGGTTCCTCCGTCCCCAGGTTGCTCCGTCCCCTGGTCCCTCTGTCCCTAGGTCCCTCTGTCCCCCTGCCCCCCGTCCCCTGGTCCCTCTGGCCCCTCTGGCCCCTGGCCCCTCCTGCAGACCTGGAGGATGCGTTCACACCTGCGTGTCCACAGGAGGGAGGGAGACCTCAGGAAGTGGTTAGATACAACATAAAATAAAGATCAGCGATTTCTCACTGACCAGCAATAGCTGACTCAAGAAGTTGTGGATAAAAGACCGCATTCAGAATGCAATAAAGAGTGAGAATGAACTTAAGGTCTAGGCTCGGTCCTGAGGGAAAACTACAAAATTGTACTGAGGGATAAATAGGGAATTTATTTAAATGGAAAAATATGCCAGGATTCTAGATAGACAGATGTCATAATGATGTAAGATATAAAAATATCTTCCTAAATTAATTGCTTTTAATAAAAAATTCAACAGAATCCTGACAAAATAATCTTAAAGTTTTCCAGAAGGAAAAGTGACTCAATAGCCGAGGGGTTTTCCAGAGGAAGGCGCTCCCCGGGGAGTGGGTCCAGCGGTAGTGGGGCGTCCACAGGCCCGGGCGCTATGACCGGAGGAGAGCGTGACCGGAGCAGAGCAGGAGCCTGACACAGCCGGTGTGTGAGCTCAGTCTGGGGCAGAGGTGCTCACAGGCGGGACTGAGCTCAGTGAGGCCCGTCTGTATTCATTCCAGACAGAACTGAGAAACGGACCCCCAACACAGGGGTGTGGGCCAAGTGGAGGTCTGCTCCCTGTGGTGCTTGTGGGGGGCACGTGTCTCAGACAGACAGGCAGCTCTGCCTGCCTCAACCCACAGCGCCCCCCTGATCTGGGCAGCACCCCCCTGATCCGGGCAGCGCCCCCCTGATCTGGGCAGTGTCCCCCTGATCCGGGCAGCGCCCCCCTGATCCGGGCAGTGTCCCCCTGATCCGGGCAGCACCCCCCTGATCCGGGCAGTGTCCCCCCTGGGCCGGGCAGCGCCCCCTGGGCCGGGCAGCGTTGGCAGCGGATGCGGAGGGCACCGGGGTGTGTGCGGCCCTCCCAGTGCAGGTGGCTTCTGTTCCCACCGCCTGGCCAAGGAGCAGGTGGAGCCTTGGGGCTCGGGCTGAGGGCACCCCTATGGGACCAGCGGCTCCTTCCGTCGGCTCCAGAACATTTCCGGATGGACTAGATGTTTCGGTCACACACCCCTGAATGTTCCGCAGAAATATGTGCGGATTGTTGGCAGTCTGACAGTGAGGAAGCAGAAATCGTGAAAGAATTTTTATTCACATTAATTAATATTAAAAACTATAAAGATACGGTAAACAAAGTTAAAGACAGATTGTAAGCAGGGAGAAAGGATTGGCATGTGTGACACAGGTTCTGTCCTCAGTGCCAGAGCCGATATGAGTTCCCACAGAGGAGGATGTCCTGATGGGAAATGAGCGTTTTTACGTGGCATTTGTACCACGTTTCTGTGGCCAGTGTATGAATATTCATATCATGTGACTGTAAGTAACCTCATGTCAGTTGAGCTCAAGTTTGACTGCCCAATGAGTTTGCCATAAACAGTGAAAAGAGTTGTGGTTTTTAGGGCTTTATGGATCTGTCATATTTACTCAATGGAACATACAGTATGTAAGTAGAAACGAATGTTAAAAGTACGAATATAAACTCCATTTTTATAAATATACGTGGAGAGACATTTTTCTCCTCAAAGCACATAAAAATATTTAGGAGAACTGCCATATTAACATTTTTCCTCCGGTAATTATGAGTAATCTTTTATCTTTTTCTTTCTTTAAAGATGTAAACATTTAAAAAACTAAGCTCACATTGGTTTTTTTGAGTAAAGATAAAGCTCTGTTGAAAAAGACGATCTTCTCTTTTCCTTTCAGGGATAAGATGTTCCCGGCGTTTGGGTTTGGAGCTCAGATTCCCCCTCAGTGGCAGGTGAGAGGGACCCGTCCCGATGCTGCGCTTCCCGGGGCAGCGACACCCGCTCACCAGCCCTCTTTCCTCGCAGGTGTCGCATGAGTTCCCCATGAACTTCAGTCCGTCCAACCCCTACTGCAAAGGTGAGTGGACGCCTGCGCACCGCCGCCCGGCCGCCCGGCCCGCTTCTGTCCTGTGGGGGGGACTCCCCCGCCCCCTCAGCCTCTGTGACCCGCTCGCCCTGTCTCAGGCAGGAGCGGCATCACTGCTGGGGAAGAGCCCAGCCACGCTCTCCTGCCTTAAAGGGTTTAACAGAACAAAAGAATTCTCTGTCTTGAGACTCGGCAATAAGTAGGGTCACGTTCCTTTCACGTATGCGTAAGTTGATTTTAAAATAAACCCTCTGTGAAATGAGCAGTCAGTCACGGGCCTCCGAAGCCCTCGCGGAGCGGGCGCTGTGCGGGGAGGTGGCCCGCACCGGAGCGTGGACGCGGGTGGTCTCCGCCGTGCGGGCGGCTCTGGCAGATTCCCTCCGCGGGAGGCCACCGTGTGGGTCACGCTTCCCTGGGACGTCCCGTATCCAGGTGCTTCCCCCACCCCCTGGGAACCCCCCTCACGTGCCGAGTCCCCACAAAACGGTGTCAGTGTGGAGGGGAAAGGAGGTGGGCAGAGGCACAGACTGTGGACCGTGAGCTGACTTCCTGCAGCGACAGGCATGTGGGTTCCGACAGCAGAGCCGTCCTCTCGTCCCCACGGGAGGAGCCCTGGAGGCGGTGTTGGGAGGGCTGCCAGGGCGCCTCCTCCTGACACGTCTCCCACCGACGCGGGGCCTGTGTGCGCGTCGGGGCCTGGCTGGCCTTCTCACTGTCGCCATGTGTCTCATGCTTGTGAGGAAATGGGACGGGAGGGTCGTGGGAGCTGAGTGCGATGGCTGACGTGGGCATTCGTTCCAGTCCGTTCATTCTGAGCACCAGGAGCCCCTCTGGGCTGCCGGCGGTGCGGCTGCTCTGCGCCAGGTTTCCGTCCGGAACAGACGGTCCATGGGTTTCAGACAAAGCAGACGCCATGGGGGAAAGACAGCCTGTTCCCAGTGATCCTACCCAGTCACTGGGTGCACTTGCCCGGAAATCGCACATCTCGCTGTTTCCAGAAGGCACAGGAGGCTTTTGGCCGTTCCGTGTTCGTGCAGGGACTGCGGGCAGTATTGGTGAGGAAATGTAATGGATGGCTCGTACACCTCAGACCGCGAGCCAGCGGAGAGGGAGAAATGGAAGAAGGTGTCATTGCGGTGGTTACGGACTCATTTCCTGCAGGCCCTGCGGCTGCCTGTGCCAGTACGATTGCCGTTACTAAAGGACGGACTGACCGCTGGTGACAGCTCACCTTTGCCTGTAAAACACTGCATATGAGCGTTTCGTTCTCGTGCTGACGAGGCCGTTCCTTCCCGAGTGCCCAGGGTCTCGGGGATGCGTGGGGACCTGCCGTTACGGGCGGCCAGGCCTCTGAAGCCTTAAACCACGCCCCGCTTCTCTTCCGTGGCCCGGTCTTCTGGGCATTTTAAAGCCAGAAACCGGTTTGGGTTTTACACTGACCACCTCTGAGGCTGATTCCTTGATGATCACAGCAAGTGTGGGAGTTTCTAGAGAATTCCCGTCTCTTCCGAGTGTCTGACTCAATGCCGGGCAGGTGGAGCAGGGCCCTGGCATGCATCAGCGGTGCTGTGTCTGGGGCCAATGGCTGTCCCAGGCTGCCGCCGCCATCAGGTCTCAGGTCTCAGTGACTCGCCCTCGTCCCCAGGCTCAGCCCTGTTTCTCCTCCACCTGGGGCTCGGGGGTGCACAGCTGCCAGGTGTGCTGCCCCGAGGCAGAGGGGAGCAGACCTGCTAGTCCCAGCGCCCAGGAACCCCCAGGACCTGCGCGCAGCGCGACCCTGGCCCGGGCATGGCTGTGGCTCTGCAGCCGCCTGCGTGCATTCAGCCTTCCTCATGGCACCTGGAAACTATTCCGAAAGTTCTGCAGCGTACCAAAAAGTATACTTTTTGTGGATCTGACAAAAAAAAAAAAAAGAGGAAGATTTTGATTTATTTACACCGGACACCTCTTCTCATATTTTTATTTGACAATCTAAGGCAGTGGCTCTCAACCTTCCTAATGCCGCGACCCGTTCATACAGTTCCTCATGTTGTGGTGACCCCCAATTTCATTGTTACAAATTAAACATAATTAAAGCATAGTGACTAATCACAAAACAATATGTAATTATATATGTGTTTTCTGATGGTCTTAGGCGACCCCTGTGAAAGGGTCGTTCGACCCCCAAAGGGGTCGCGACCTACAGGTTGAGAACTGCTGATCTAAGGCAAAAGGGGTTGGCGCCCCTGACTAAATAGTCAGGTACCGCATGTCTTAACAATTCCTGCAGCGCACGGTGGAAAACTGCTGAGTCAGCGAGGAGATCCTAGACAGGAAGCACCAGTGGCACAGAGCCACAGGCACAGGTGCAGGCACTTCCCCTCTGACCCCCCTGAGAATTCCCAACGCTGCCTCCTCACCTCTAAATGTCGAGTGATGACGCAGCCTCTTCCACAGCCTTTCCCATCAGAGTCCCGTCCCGAGCAGCAAAGCTAAGCGCCCCCACAGGCCTGTGGACAGTGAGTGATTCGCTCGGGGGGTCACACAGTTCTGGGCTGGGAGGTTTAGAGGACGTGGTGTGGAGGTGCGTGCTGCACAGGGTGGGCGAGATGGGTTTATGGTTGTTGGTACGGAAAATGACACATTGGTAAGTACTAACATAAGAATAAACTCCATTTCACGTGCGTACGGCTGTGGAACTTGCCCGCCCTTGTAGCTCAGAGGAGTCCTGGGTATGGACCTGGCTGTCTGAAGTACTGTCTTGTGTGTGATCACATCGGCCGGGGGAGTGCTGGGCGTGGCGTTGCGCCTGAGAACTCCCAACGCTGCTCTTTCTGTCCAGGGATCCAGGGCATCGTGGAGGCGTATCGGGCCTGCCTGCCTCAGATCAAGCTCTATGGACCGACGAACTTCTCCCCCATCATCAACCACGTGGCCAGGTTTGCTGCTGCAGCCACGCAGCAGCAGACGGCTTCCGTAAGTGTCGGTCGCCGGGACTGAGGTGCGGGCCTGCCCTGTTCCGGGCCACTGTCTGTGCCGTGACCTCGAGGAGCCAACGCAGAGCTCTAAGTGCGGGCACCGTCGCCCTCGTCGGGGCGGCATCTGCTGCTGAACTAGTGAGCCTTAAACAGGCAAGAACAGAGCAGCCACCCACAAGTCTTGTCTCCGGGACCTGCCGCTGGGTGCTAGGGCAGTCCCCCCCGTGGCATTCTCGGGGTGAGGCGGGACGAGGACGCACACAGTGTGGGAAGAGTGAATAGGGGGATTCACATCACGTGCCCAGGGCCTGGGCCACGTGGACACTCAGCACCTGCGCTGCTGTTACAAATCCGACGCCCATTCTAGACTTGAAGGACCCGAATGATGGAGTCACAGCTTTGTGTGACATTTCCACTCGTTGATTTGTCAGATAACAGTACGGAGAGAACCCCCCACCATGTCCAGTGTAACGTGTTCTTTAGTTGATGAACAGTCCTCCCTCCTCTATCGGAGTTCACACTCGCTCCCTTGGCCAATACTCTGACGGGGATGACTTTACCACTTCAGTTAAGTGAAGTGTTCATGCCTGTGCCTGCTGGGCGTTTACCCAGAGGCATTTCCACGTCTTGTTCCCGCGGACTGAGGCCGGCATGTTCCGTGCCCTGCCACCCTGTAATGAATGTGCAGCGTTTCCGTGTGGATTCCTTGTCAGCACAGAGGTCAGGCTCTCGAAGCGGGGGTCCTCGAGCTGCAAGTGTCAGCGCTGCCGTGTCACAGGAGCTCCAGCTGCTCACGGGCCGTGCTTTCTCTTTGGCAGCAATATTTTGTGCTCCTGATCATCACCGACGGCGTGATCACAGACCTGGACGAGACCAGGCAGGCCATCGTCAATGCCGCCAAGCTGCCCATGTCCATCATCATAGTCGGAGTGGGTGGTGCCGACTTCAGCGCCATGGAGTTCCTGGACAGCGACAGCGGGGCCCTGCGCTCCCCGTCGGGAGAGGTGGCCAATAGAGACATCGTGCAGTTCGTGCCTTTCCGACAGTTCCAGAACGTGAGTACCGCTGCGCCTCGCCCGACCGACCAGGTGGCTGGGTGGGTGCTGGCCGGTGGGCGGGTTTGCTTCAGGCTGTGGACCTGCGTGCCTCCGCAGTGGGTGGCTAGTCGTTCAACCGGTGTGTGACTGTCTTCAAGGATGGCTCCCCTTTCCTGCCTGACGGCCCAGTCTCTGCACACCTATGCGATGAATTGACCAGCTGGAGGCTGATTTGCCGAGCCTCTCAGGAGACTGTTTACCGGTTTCCTCCAATGGTAACATCTCATAAAGTGGCGCATTGCTACCAGCAAGGTCCCTCCCACAGGGCCCGCCCAGTGGCACCCGTCCCAGCCCCCTCTCCCCACCTTCATCCCTCCTCACCCCGGCAGCCACTAGTTTGTCTCCACTTCTTAGATTTTATCATTTTGAAACTTACATAAATAGAATTACACAGCAGTGGCCCTTGGGCCTGGCCTTTTCTCTCGATGATTCTCTCACAGGCTACAAGCCGCTGCGGGGCTCTGTGCTGCTGAGCGGGGCTCCCTCCCGCCGAGCGGGGCTCCGTGCTGCGGGCACGTGGTTTGAGGGCACCTTCAGCTGCTTCCAGTTGTGCCTGGTGCACACCGGCCGCTGTTAACATCACGCACAGGCTCGTGTGAATGCGTCTCGGGGGAAGTACCCAGAAGTGCAGCTGCGTGTTCAGTTGGCAAAAGCCTGTGGAACTTCCCCGAGTGGCTGTGCCATCCCCCGCCCAGCAGTGTGGGCAGGACCTGGCCGGTGTGCGGTTAAGGAGCAGCCCATGGGGGTCTTTGTGGTGGAGGCAGCTGTGTATCTTGATTGTGGTCACACAGACCTGCCTGATGATGGCGGCACACAGAGCTGCGTGCACACGCACACACATGCACGCGCATGCGCACATACAAGCGCACATGACACGGGAGACTCGGAAAAGGCTGTGCACTGGATAGTGTCACTGTCCTGGGTTTGATAGTCCTGTTGTTACAGAGCCATTACCTTTGGAGGGAACTGGGTGAAGTGTACATGGGACGTCTATTATTTTTACAACTTCCTATGAATCTATAATTACTTCTAAATAAAAAGCCAAACAAATGAATAGTTAGTGAATGAAAGACCAGCATTTGAAGCTGAGGACAAGAGTCATTGCATGTCATAACGCTGGCACCAGAAAAGAGCCGGGCCGAGGTGGGTGGGGTCAGCACCCTCAGCTCATCCCCTGCTCTCAGACTGACCCTGAGACTGGGTGCTGGCGCAGGGGTGGGACTGTGCGGAATCCCTGTCTTCATCAAAGGACAGCGAAGCCCTGGCCAGAGTTGCTCAGTGGTTAGAGCAGCCGTGGGCAAACTACGGCCCGCGGGCTAAATCTGGCCCGTTTGAAATGAATAAAACTAAAAAAAAAAAAAAGACCATACCCTTTTTAAAAAAATATATATTTTATTGATTTTTTACAGAGAGGAAGGGAGAGAGATAGAGAGTTAGAAACATCGATGAGAGAGAAACATCGATCAGCTGCCTCCTGCACATCTCCCACTGGGGATGTGCCTGCAACCCAGGTACATGCCCTTGACTGGAATCGAACCTGGGACCTTTCAGTCCGCAGGCCGACGCTCTATCCACTGAGCCAAACCGGTTTCGGCAAGACCGTACCCTTTTATGTAATGATGTTTACTTTGAATTTATATTAGTTCACACAAACACTCCATTCATGCTTTTGTTCCAGCCCTCCAGTCCAGTTTAAGAACCCATTGTGGCCCTCGAGTCAAAAAGTTTGCCCACCCCTGGGTTAGAGTGTCGCCCACGCACCAGAGTCTCGGGTTCAATTCTCTGTCAAGGGCACATACTTGGGTTGCAGGTTTGATCCCTGGCCCTGGTTGGGGTGCATGCAGGAGGCAACCAGTTGATATATCTCTCTTATCGATGTTTCTCTCTCTCTCCTTTCCACTCTCTAAAAATCAATGGGGAAGATAACCTTGGATGAGGATTAACAAAAAAAGGCGGGAGCGGGAGTGTGGGGAGCAGTGAAAATGTGTTTGCTCATGAAGTCACTGGTTGTGTTCTCCAGGCTCCCAAGGAGGCGCTGGCCCAGTGTGTCCTGGCCGAGATCCCCCAGCAGGTGGTGGGCTACTTCAACACGTACAAGCTGCTTCCCCCCAAGAACCCTGCGACCACCAAGTGAAGGTCTGCCCCCCGACCATGACCAGCCACGGCTCTTCCTGTTCCCCGGCATTTATGCTGTAAACCTAGTTCTCTACGGTTCTTTCTACTTCAAGCGTTTTTTATACTTTCTGGAGGAAAAGTGCTAAGTTAATCTTTACCCAATCAGTTCAGTGGTTGCTTCTGACCGGGGGCTGCAGTGAGGCTGTCTGGAGGAGACACTCCCTGAGGAACGTGGTTTGTTGTTGCGACTGTACTTTCATAGGATGATCTGCCGTTTCCAATGGTTCCCAGTAGGAAGAATGGAGCCTGTTGGTTGTGTGATTCCAGGTTTCTGTGCCACAAGCCCCACCTCGGTGACGGTGACAAGTTCCTGTAACGGTTCAGTGCTTCTCCAGGGCTGATCTCGGTGCGATCCCGCCCTCCTGCTGCAGGCGCTGAGGGGCCGGCCACACACCGTCCCTGTGGCACAGCCTGTACCTCACGCCAGCAGCTGTGCATGTCGCCGCCCATGTCCGCGAGCCCGGGGTCTGCATGTGTGCGCCGCAGCTTGTCCTGGGGTCCCCGTTGTTGGAGCGTTTTCCCGGGAGGTGAAGTGCTGAGCTGCTCTGCTGGGAGCTGTGGGACCAAACCAGCACTCCTCCCTCTCGCCGATGGGCCGCTGCGCATCGGGAGGGACGGTGTCAGACCTTGCTTGCTGAGGCCCCTTACGCTGATTTGTACATATTCACTTAGACATTTTTCCTTTTTTTTGAATAACATTTTTAGTTTGATTTTTAAACTCATGATAATCAAATCACACTTCTCATATAATGTGCTGTGTTCTAAGCCCAGCAAGTACTGTATTAAGCATAAAACCTGGTGTAACTTAAAAAAAATCTAGCTTCTGCCTTCGGATATAGTGGACTTCACATGCTTTTTTAAGAACAGAATTTTCCCCTGATGTTTACCCTTTAGAACATGTTGCTGAGCAAACATGGTCCCATCAGAAGCCCAGGACCGCACGTGCCCGTAGATCACAATCATCTTTAACTTCAGTGTTAAAACTGTGTGTGGGTCACAGTCCTCAGGAGAATGGGCTGTGCTGACAGGTCAGCGCCTGTCCCCGGCTCTCAGACATGGAGGAGGATGCGACCTTCAGCAGGGAGCAGCCCTGTCCGTGTTCTGGTTGCAGCTCTGTCTGCTTGGAAGCTGCAGAGATGGTCCTGGTTTCGTTTCCTTTTGAACCCACGTGGCCCCTCTTAACTCCCAGACCCTAAGTTGCTCCTGCAGTGACAGCACCACCTGCAGGGGGCGCTGGGGCCGCCAGCATGAGGGCTCATTGGTCCCATGCTGATTACATTCCTCACACCATGGCCAGCTGCCTGGGGCTCACAATTTCATATTCTGGTTTTAAACAGAATATTTCCTTTTAAAATTAGATTTTTATTATTCATTCTTGACCAGGTTCATCACTAGATGCTGTTTCTCATAAGAGCTGTAATTCCAGCAAATTAGGGTAATGGATACCTTTATGCAGTTTTGAATAAAAGTAGTTACAATTTCTAAATTACTTTACAAAGTCCTTACAATTTTACATGTCACTTTATGGCATGTGACTTAATATTGTTTTATATTAAACTAGAGGCCCGGTGCACGAAATTTATGTACTGGTAGAGTCCCCAGGCCTGGCTGGCGATCAGGGCCTATCTGTGGGGCAACCAGCGGGGTAATTTGGGGGCCCCCGTTGGCACCTGCCTTGGCTGGCCTGGGGCTTGCAGGCTGGGGGTAGCTCCTGTGTTGAGCGTCTGCCCCGTGGTGGTCAGTGGGCGTCATAGTGACCGGTTGTTCCGCCATTCGGTTGACTTGCATATTAGGCTTTTATTATATAGGGTGCTCCCTTTGTCCATTGTGCCACCATTTATTCCAGTGCCACTAGTTCTCAAAGTGCATTTAGAGACACAGTAACTGAGTCGATGGTCACACCCCTTCACCCGCTATGTTTCCTGGAGACCTGTCTTCATCCGTCTCCCCTGCATGCAGCTGACAGTCACGACGCCTAGCAAGAAGTCTGGCTGTGACTGCGAGAACTTTTTTGTGCCTTTTTGGTGTCAACCTCACAATAAATGTGTAAGTTAGGAATATATGAACTGATGTTGAGTATATCTTTCACATGAATTCCCTTTGGATAAAGTTATTTCTCGATGTGCTGCAATAGTGCCTTGTTTTCATTCTTACTCTCTAAATGTTATCAAAACTAGTAGAAAAGTTTGAAATAAAGTGAATGTAGTATATTAGATGGCTGTGCTCCATATTTTGTTGAATAAAAGAGTTTGGGGGATTTTGTTATTTTGTGGGGTTTGTTAATTTAAAAGAAATTGACTGCATCCAAATTGGTGCAGTAAGGGAAGGGTTATCAGTTTACTGCTCATGTCTTTTTTCTTTTCTTTTTTTAAAATATATTTTTATTGATTTCAGAGAGGAAGGGAGAAGGAGAGAAAGAAATATCGATGAGAGAGCGTCATCGATTGGCTGCCTCCTACACGCCCATACTGGGGGTCAAGCCTGCAACCTGTGCATGTGCCCTGACCCAAATCTAGCCAGTGACCTTCTGGTTCATAGGTCAATGCTCAACCACTGAGCCACACCAGCCAGGCACTGCTCACATCTTATTAGGGTGGTGGGGTCACATCTTGGGCCCTCTGGGACTCAAAAGGGAGCCCAGACTTGGGCTAAGGGTCATGGATGTCACTGAATGCACTTACTACCTCCACTGGGCACAGAGGAGGTAAGTGCCCCTTCTCTTCCAGGTAGCATTTGCCTTGGGTCTGGGTGAATCAGGAACTAGAGGTAAGACCTGGGGCCTTTGAGAAGAATGCATTTACTAAGATCTGGTGGGAGAAGCGTGGTCAACGACCTTGGAGCTTACCAATGTGACAAACTGCTATCCCCCCAGGAAGTCTGCCGCCGTGGCGCACCTGGGATGCTCCCTGGACACTTGGGCTCGACTCACTGTGTCCCTCACAGCTGCTCCCGCAGTCCCACTGCTGCCGCTTGGATCCCCACCACGTCCCCTTGACCCCTTTCTGTCCCTCTGTCCTTTCTCTCCCACCAGCGGGTTCCCAGCATATTCACGAAGCTGAGCGCCTTGGCCTGCTAGCGCAGCCCTAACGGGGTGTCAACAGCAGCACGGCCTATCGGGGTACAGCAGTGCAGCCTATCGGGGTACAGCAGCGCGGTCTATTGGGGTATAGCAGCAGCGATTGATTTTCTTAGATCAGGTGCTGAAGGGCTGGCCTCCGACACCTCCTGGGCTGGCAGGCGGTCCTCTCTGTCCTCACAGGCCTCTTCTCTGTGCACACAGCCTGAGTCCCCGGTGCAGAGGCAGAGGGCCTTACAGGCCGGCCTCCCCCTTGCCCTTTCTCTCCCGCGGTGGGGACTTCTCTAGGGCTGTGTCTGAGGCAGCCCTGAACCCGAAGATGTCAACCCTAAGAGGGCGGGTGCCCCAGCACACACCTGCTGGTATTATCTGCTTTCAAACACCCTCCCATGTGTAGATAGAGGCACTTCTATAGTGTCCTGAGATGTGTTTGTCAAGCAAGGAAGTCAGCATCTCTTGTATGTGGATTACCTGTTTATTTTGCATCCATAAATTCCTATCAATATTCTCTCTCCCTTTAAAAATATCTGGGTTCTGTGTTTCGATGCAAATAAAGTGTAAGAGCTCGCCTTTGCCTTGCTATAATTTACAATTAAGCAGAAGTCAGAGGACAGTGGAGCTGTGCAGGGTGGCACCTCCTGAACTGCAAAGACAGCCCCTGAGATGGGACCCATCGTGCGTGTGAAGCATAATGATCCCTCCTTTGGAAAACTGTTTAAAACTGCCGTTTGAAATTCTCGGTTATTTTTAGATAGAACCTTATTCTGTAGGTCACTCTGTTATTTTTAGATGGACCATTATTCTGTACAATAACTTTTTGTTTGAATAATGGAGAAGATAAAAACTTAGCTGTCTGACCTTGCAGACTGGCTATCTGTGGTAAGGAGGTGGTACTACTCCCATACTCTCATGCCAGGTGTTTGTTAATTATGTACTCAAGGTTACAAGCTGTCTGCAAAAATAACGTAGAGCTCTTCGTAAAGTCTGCAGACAAAGAGCTAGAAAGATATAAATAGGAGCTTCCTCCATGTTTTTGCTCAGAAATTTGGGAGACATCTCCCTCTGGGCCCACTAGCATAATAAAGACTCCTAATTAATTGGCTCATTAAGGCGTCCTATGTTCTGCTCACTGATTTACAATATAACACGTGGATGTTGGTGGAAAACAGGGAAGAGGCAAGTGATGGAGGAGAGATGATGCCCCAACTGCACCAGGCCACGGGGACGAGTGCCAGGGGAAAAAAGGTAGGTGATAGCTCTGGAAAAAGTAAAGAAGACCAGCTTCTGTGGGGGGTCTGGTTGGGGGTGTGGTAATTAATAAGATTTAATCAGTAGGAGGGATGCTCAAGTCCCTGAGCAGAGAAGTCGCATGGTCCAAGGGATGGCTATGATTAGAATGCTGGTGCCCTCCTCCCCAATTCATGTATTGAAATTCTAACCCCCATAGAGGACAGTCTTGGGCAGTGCTCTGCCCTGCTGGGGGGCCAGTGCCCTCATGGAGGCTGCTTCCAGCGAGCAGGGGCTGCTGGGAACCAGGGAGAGGGCCCTCCCTCCTCATGGGGCCACCACCCAGATGGCAGCCCCAGAGCTTTGAGAAGTCAATCTCTGTGGTTCTAAGCCACCCGCTGGTGGTACTGATTCCAGCTGCCCAAATGGATGGACAGTGGTGTGTTAGGAAGATCAGATTTTCCCATGGCAACACGGTTGAGATGCTAGAACACTGCAGGTGAAAGCAAATGTATGCTTGAACAGAAAATACATAGTGAGGTGTTAGCATTTTAGAACTGAGAAATAATGGATAAGTAGAAAGATATAAGAAAGAAAAAGGATTTGGGGACACTGTAAACAAAGGAAGAGGTACTGATTACTCTTAGGTCTGAGTCTGAGAGATTGAAAACGGAGATGATAGTACCTGAAATAGGGTATTTAGAGGAGAATTAAGCAACAGAAGAGCATAAAATTGCACAAGTATTCTATTTTAATTTCTTTACAAGGTGAAGGATTCTTTCCTTTGTTTTTTCCTTTTATCAGACTCTTTTCAGGCCCTCTTTTCACATTTTCTTTAAAAAAAAAAAATCTTTACTGTTGAGAGTATTACAGATGTCCCACTCCCCACCCATTGCCCCCCGCCATCTGGTTCCTGCCCTGCCCCAGGCCTTCACCTCCCTATTGTCTGTGACCATAGGTGATGCATATATGCATATAAATTCTTTGGTTAATCTCTTCCCGCCACCCCTCCCCCCTTCCTTCTGAGATTCATCAGTCTGTTCCATGTTTCCATATTTCTGGTTCTATTTTGTTCATCAGTTTATTTTGCTCATTAGATTTCTTGTATGAGTGAGATCATGTGATACTTGTCTTTCT